TTTTATGGAAAACCAAATAAATACATGTTTTGTTCAAAATGTCAAGCATTAGAAAACTTAAAGTATGGAAAGCGTGTTCCCTGGGGGAGGTGAGCAGTTCAGGACTAGAGTGGAGGGCAACAGCACTAGTTCACATTTCAGATAGCAATGCAAGAAGAAGGTGTGCATTACCTGGTGAGATGACATAAACCAAGAAGGGTGGGGCCCTTTGGGGACAGAGGGAGAACTGTGCGGGATGGGTAGAGCTTGCCACACTGTGACCCTGAGATCTACAAGGGAAACTAGTAGAACTCAATTATAGAGGATCTGATGATGGGGGAAAGTCCCTAAAGCTCTAAGGACCCTGAGCAGTTTAAACCCAATCAAGACCCCACCCTTCAAGGAACCTGGGACTAGCAGCCCTGCTCTTGTTTGCTGTGCCCTGCCAGAGGAGCTAAGCTGTCCACTATGCCTTCTGGATTATCTTGTTAACGTATTAAGAATAACTGCAGAGGGTTCTGCTCACCCCATCATACTTTACTCCCAGCATCTGGTGGATCAAGCTGTGCTAGCAAAAGCCATCTCAGAACCCCCTTTCAGAAAGCCATCATTTACTTTTCCTGGACTCCATGGGCTGAGAGTCAAGTGGAATTTTCTGGGCTTTTGGAACCTCAAAGCCTTCAGAGACACACACCTCCTCCAACAAAGCCACACTTTCTAATCCTTTCCAAATGGTTCCACCAACTGGGGATCAAGCACTCAAACATATGAGTCTATGGGGCCATTCTCATTCAAGCCACCACAGCCAGGCAAAAAAATGTACCAATAGTTTACCTCTGCTGCCTTACCCTATCCCTCCCTCCCTCTCTCCCTTCCTCCTCCTTCCCTCCCTCCCCCCACCCTTTTTTTTTTTTTTTTTTTTTTTTTTTTTTTTTTGAGACAGGTTTCTCTGTGTAGGCCTGGCTGTCCTGGAACTTACTCTGTAGACCAGGCTGGCCTCGAACTCACAAAGATCCAGCTACTTCTACCTCCCAAGTGCTGGGATTTAAGGCATGTGCTACCACTGCCCTGCATGTCTTACTTAAAAGCCTATGAGATCCGAGTAAATGTAAATTCATATGCAGCTTGGAGAGGGACTAAAATACCCTAAAATGCACTCCTTATCTATTAAGGGATTATAAATAGGTTTCCGGGAACTTGAGAGAAAGCAATTCATCATATTTGGGAGCTTTTCTGTTGTAAAATGAATTGTTTACATAGTGACAATATGTGAAAGCAGTAATGTTTGCCCTTTATTATGGCCCACTTCTGGGGTAAAATGACAGCCATATTACAACAGTCATAATTTGATTTGCTCTGGGTCAACTTAAGAAAGTGGTATTGGATTCATAATTTCAGTTTCCCTACACTTGGGCTGGAGAGAAGGCTTAGCAGGTAAATGTTCTTGTCCACAAGCCTGGTGACCTGAGTTGGATCCCTGGATCCCAAAGTGTAGCCCCCTCTGACCAAGTGCACTGTAGCATTCTCTCTCTCTCTCTCCCCATCCCTCCCTCTCCCTCTCCCCCATAAAATCAATTCTCCCTATCTAATTAATTAATAAGAATGCATTTGCAAATCTGGAGGTCAGTGCTGTAAAGACCTGTACAATAAATGAGTTATTCAAAGCACCTGGCTTTCATCAGCTATAAAGCTAAACTTGGCTCAGGGCAGGGAGGTTAATAAACAGCACACGTAATTCTCATGTCCATCATTCTGGAAAATGTTCAGTTTCACCTCAGACCTTAAGCCCTTTTTAGTAATTCTAAAAGTAATATCTGCAAATTTATGTTTTAAATGTATTAGGGAACCTGACAAGTGTTTTTATGGCATTTCCAGTGTAATGCCAGGTGTTGCTAAAGTCAAGATTTAGGGACAATTAGGAATTTTTTATATTGCTCTTACATACAAATGTCCAAACTGTGTTCAGTATCTGAGAACAGAGCAACTGATGTGTTAACATACCAAATCCCAGGCTTCCCCAGAGAGCATTTAAAACCATTCTCTGGGACTCAGGGAATGACTTACCTCTTAAGAGCACTGGCTGCTCTTCCAGAAAACCCAAAGCTCCATGCAGCACCCATATGGTAATCTGATACCCTTTCAGACCTCCTTGGCCACCAGACAAACTCAGTGTGATAGGCATACATGCAAACAAAATGCCCACACACATAAAATAAAAATCAATAAATCTAATATTTAAATTACTCTCTGGTAATACAGCCTGGTACTCTGTGCCTCTTGCAAGCAGACCAGGGGGTTTATTTCATGCACTGAAGTGTGACAATCAAACCATAAAGGACATGAAATTGCTCTGAAGTTTATAAGAAAAACAGAAACAAAACCACCAGAAATAAACAATCAGTCAAACCCTACAAGCAGCAAACTTTAGGACAGTGGCCTGGTCTCTAGAGGTAAAAACTAGTAAAGTGTGGTGGCCCATGCCTTCTGTAATCTCTGGAAGCAAGATCAGGAGGTCAAAGCTAGCTGTAGCTACATACAAGGAATTCAAGGGTGCAGGAAAGAAATTGCACAAAACCTGATGAATGACTAAACAAAATGCTGCCCCTTATAAGGCAATTATTGCTCAACCATTATAAACTGATGTGTGATTTGTGACATAACATGGAGAAAGCTTGAGAATAGCTATCAATAAAGGAAGTCTAGTTTTAAAAAGCCACATGTGCTGGAGAGATGGCTCAGAGGTTAAGAGCACTGGCTGCTTTTCCAGAGGTCCTGAGTTCAATTCCCAGCAATCACAAAGTGTCTCACAACCATCTATAATGAGATCTGGTGCCCTCTTCTGGCATGTAGGCATACATACATGGAGGCAGAATGCTGTATACAAAATAAATAAATAAATACATCTTTAAAAAAAGAAAAGCCATGTGTGTGATCCCATTTCTATGAAAATGTAGGGAAAAATCCATAGATGTTTCCAAGGATTGGGGAAGCTTGAGGGTTTTAAAAAAAAAAAATGTATTCATTATTTATTTTTATATGTTTATGTGTGAATCTGTGTGTGAACTTGTGGGTGTCCAAAGAAGCCAGAGGACTTCAGATCCTCTGGAGCTGGAGTTACAGGCAGTTGTAAGCCACCTGAAGTGAGGGCAAGAAGACCAAGTGCTCTTAACTGCTGAGCCATCTCTCCAGTCCCATGGAGCTTGTTTTTCTAATAAAACACTGACTGTGCAAATGATCTGGGAGTAGACAATGGTGGTGATTATAAAATCTAGAGGGTATTAAAACTACTCATTTGTTCACTTAAAAGGGTGACATAACACTTATATTTAATCTCATGAAGTTATCTAAAAAGTCAGAGACATTACAAAGTAGGTCATTGTTTTTCTAGACTACAAGAGGCTTAAAAGAAACACAAGTTAATGAATGGACTTTGAGTCTTTATGGAAAGGAACACCCTGTGAAGTAACATTATATGACAGTAGAGAATCTGGGTGTGAACTTGGAGTCATTGTTTGTCTTAGCAATTACATTGGCATTGTCTTCAAGCATGATTGTGTCTTTTCTATCTAAATAAACGATGAAGTAGTTAGAGGTGAAATACTTGGACAAAACAAAAAAGATAACTAGAATAAGTATACAAAGTAAGTGGTCTGGGGTGAAAGATGTTTGCTGGGAAAAGAATGCACAGGTGTGGCTCCTTGAATTCTATTATTTTGTGTGTGTGTGTTTGTGTGTGTGTGTTTGGAAATTTTCTTTCTTCTAAAATTACTAAAACCACATTTTATTATTTTATAAAATCCCTTGCAAATAAAGTCATCTCACACATCTTTAAAATAAGTTAAGCCTACAGTCTGGTGGTGCAGGGTTCTAGTCCCTTCTACAGAGAAGGTTGAGGCAAAAGGATGGAAAGTTCCAGGCTTGCCTGCACACACCATAGTGAGTTCAAGTATGAGTGAATTAGTTTCCTGAGATTTGCTTATCAGTTCCAAGAGTCTTTGTAGCTGCTGGGCTGCATTTGCTACAGTGAAACAAAAGTAATGTCTCTTCATTGTTCAGATAAATTAGTGTCCTGTCATTTCAACATGGTAGTAGCTGGCTGCTGATACTTATTCCTAAAATTTGTTCAATTTCTTCTTCTACCCAAATCACCTTAGTCAATCCTTCAGCATGCCTGACACCGGATCCCACCATTCTCCTCTGCAGAAACACTGGTACAACTTTTTGTTCTTGGTACAAAACAAAGTAGCAAGGCCCTCAGAATGCGTTCAACACAAGCACCCTCATCTCAAGCCACACTGTCCCTGTCTTTCAGTCCCATTTACACTTTGGGACCCTCAAGTGGGACCCTCTGGGCCCAGAGCAAGCTGTTTTTTCTGCCTATATATCTCCAATCAAAGACCGTTGATTGCCCTCTTTCTGCCTCACTTGTTCTGCCTGCAGATAATCTGGGTTCAAATCCCAGAACCACCCTTGTTAGGCTGCGCTCTGGCCCTACTAAGTCGCTCAGCATGTCCCCTTGCCCATCTACACCTTGAAGTTGATGAAAAAGAGATTTTGATGATTAACTTGCAAACAGATCGGAAAGCAAGTGGAAACTTAATATCATTTTAACAATACTCCAATTTAACTCTACTGTTGGCCAAGTTCAAGTTTGTCACCTTGACTACACTGATGGTGGCCCACCTCACTTCTCCCCCACAGCCCCACTACTTGATTATTCTCCACCCACGAACGTAGATGAACACGGGAAAAAGGGAAGTCCTTACAGGGTTAGAGAGAGGCCCTGGTCGTGAACTAGCTGAGCAAGACCGGATCTAAGTCGGAACACATCGAGCCAGACTGGCATAGCTTTAGGAAAGGAATGTTCTTGACCTGGAGCAGCCTGGAAGAACTTGTGACCGCTCCTGACACCACCGGACCCCCGCGACACCATAGTGAGTGGGGGGGTCTGCCGCCAGCAGCCAACGGCCCCGCCTGCCTGCCAACCCCGCCCACAGCCTTTCTGGGGATTGATTGGCTGCTTTCTTCTTCCTGTCCAGCCCCCTCCGAACAGTTCGCCGATTGGCTGCGACTTTCGGGCCAGCCCCGCCCCACTGGCGCTGGTACCGGCGCAGAGTGCACCGCCTCGGTCTTTCTGTCCCCGGCTTGGAGGTGAGTGTCCGTGGGGAGGGTGTCCCGCGGGAGGATCGTCACGTGTCCCCTCGAGCTTTGCCCGCCCCGAGCTCAGCTGCTCCCGGCGGCCAGAACGGAGGGGTAGAGCAGATCTCGGTGGCCCGCGGGGCGGGCGTCCGTGCCCTGCCCGGGGTCGCGCGAGACACAATACCCCCTACGCTGTGCGGCCCGGGCGCCCTGACCACCGCCCTTTTTCTCTGCAGGCCGAGCCTCCGGAGCCGGGTCCCCAATGCCCAGTCGTGCTGCTGTCTCGGACCCAAGCGCAGGTAGGTCCCCGCACTGGTGGAAAGAAGGCCCGGGCCACGTGGCGCAGATGACCGCGTGTGCCCGGCCCGTGTTGGTTGAGCTGCTTAGTCCTCCCGGATCGCCCTTTCCTGTGCCCTTTTAAGGTTGTCGCGGTACTTTAAGAGGCTAACACAGAAGGGTAAAGGAACTCTCCATAAAACCCATGGAGGAGACTGTACACCTCCTCCTTGGATCCTGTCTGGAGTCACAGATGAGCCAGAAGGATTGCATTGCTTCTGGCGATTGTAAAGTAATAGCTTAGAATTTGAGGAGGACTAGGCTACTTGGTTTAATTTGATAGAGGGAAAAGGACAAAAGTACATATTACTTACCTAGAAATGAAGTTTGAGATGGGCTGAAAAGAATATACCTTTCCTGAACCATTTCTATTGATTTAATTTATTTTTTTTATTGTAGGTTGAAAGCTACAAGAAACGAGTGCGCTAATGCCTTGAAGTGGGTTCCCAGGGGGTAAATCCTCCAAGGTGAAGTAGACTGACCCATGTCTCTTTAGGATTAGGGGTGTTGTAGCAGATTCATTGCCACCCACTTTGTTACTGAGATAGGTGCTATAGTTCCCATTTGACAGTAAGAGCCATGTGAGAGTATCCCTGAATAGCCTTGTAATAATTGATTGTGCTGGAGGAGGTTTCTCCATGCCTGGCTGCCCTGGAACTCAGATTAGCCTGACTCTGAGTGCTGGAACTAAAGGCCTACGCCATCATGCCTGGCTATAACATGCTAGGTCATTTGAATGTGTTGGTATGGAAGATGATGTTTGTAGTCCCCTGAATGCTAGGACAAGTTCTTTGTTCCTGCTTAGTCATGTGCCAGCAGACAAGATGTATTAATCTGTATATTGTTGCCTGTCATTAATTTTCCAGAATCTTTAATAAAGGCTTTTCCTGTGTCATGTTCATTGTGGCCTTATTTTAAAATAATTGTGCCTGTGTCCTTACACTGGAACATGTGGAAATCAGTCTTGGAATAGTCTGCTCCAACATGTGGATCCCTTGCCCTCTGCTTTGTTTTGACCTTAACAGCCGTTATCTCTTTTATATTGAGAGAAAAAGGAAAGGGCATGGCTGCTCCTAGGTATATGGTGGAGCAGAACCGAGAGTGGATAGAGGTAGTCACCTTGGTGAATCCAAAGTGGACATAAGCAGAATGAGGTGGTCCATGTAGGGAGAGGGGACACAGCTACAGTTCCCCCTGAGAGTCCAAAGGGTGGATACCAAAATATGTAGATTGATTGGGGAAGGGCAGCCCAGTCTCTAGGCTATAGAGTTCAGGGTAGTGGGTAGAGTGTGCCAGCCATATCCTGTAACAGGGACTAAGGTGTGCTGGGAGCCAGGTCTGTTTCTCAGCCATTTGTCCAGCATTTGAAACTTACATTAGCACTGAATATTGCACCCAAGATTTCCATTTCCTGGCCAGGGTCTGTGTGAGGGCATGTGCAATCACACCCAACTTCTACATGATTCTAGGGATCTAACTTGTCATTAGTCTGCATGGCACTTTTATCTGCTTTTTTCAAGCAAGGTCACATTGTAGAGGAAACTGGCCTCAAGGATACAAAGTTCTCTGGGTATGGAGGAAAATAAGGGTCAAGATACAATGTATAATATTAACAGCTGCTAATATTAAATGCTTCTTTATGCAATAGCTTTGCTTAATAAAAGCACTTCTGTTGGCTATAACCATATTGGCCAAGTTGCCAGGTGCTGAGCCCCAGGGCAAAACAGTACAGATTTTCACTGGTGTGCTATTGTAAAGGTAGCCTCGGTTTTTTTTTTTTTTTTTTTTTATAGACAACCTTTGTAGAGATTGAAAGAATAGGTCCTTACCTGACAGGATCAGATGAAGGGCCTTGGTTGAGGTGGAAATCATGCTGACTAGAACCCTAGTGTGTTCTGAGGAGCCCTAAGATCTTGAGTGGGTTGAGTCAGGAAGCTGGATGGGAACGTTCCCCTGCTCTTGCATTGGTCCAATGAAACTGACTAATCAAAAAGCATGAGGCTAAAACTAGGGATGCAGGCACATGTAGTAGCTAGGAAATGGAGTGCTTTAATTGAAAGGTATAATTTACAAAAATTTAACTGAAATTATTAGAACATTTTTTGCCCTCAAGAAATAAGCCATGTAGTTGTGCCTAACTGTCTCAAAAGCAAAATTAGTTTGGTGGGTTTGTCTCTAACATTTAAACTGTAATCCTGGGAAGCTGTGAAAACGACTTTGAAAATATAGTAAAGCAGGCTGGAGAGCTGGCTCCCTGTTGCAGAGGACAATTCCAGTTCTAGGGGTCTGACTCTCCTGACCTCTGCGTACCAGGCAAGCTTGGATTCACATACAGTATGTATGTAGGCAAATACTCAAAATCTGTAAATTAAAAATACACCCAGAGCACCTCATGTATGCTTTCATGTTGTAATTTCTTTATTGAGATTGCTATGTTACAAATAGAAGACCACACAAATTAAGATGAGGAAGGAATCAGGTGTAGACTTGGTTTCTGAGTGGGTACTTGTTGAGTTCACTTAAAAAAGAAATTTAAGGTTTATACAGAATACAAAATAAAATTAACTTTTTTTAAAAAAAACAAGGATTGAGGCTGTAAAGAAGATTTAAAACTGCTCAGCATTCCTTAGCCTCTTCCCTCCCTCTCTACAGTCCCAGTTGTGCTGCAATTCTGTGTAGACCATGCTGGCCTCAAACTCAGAGACCCGACTCTGCTTTGGATTAAAGGCGTGCATCAGCATGCTGGCCCTTCTGTTTCCTATTGATAAAACACCAAAAATCCAGGCGGTGGTAGTGTACGCCTTTAATCCCAGTACTTGGGAGGCAGAAGCAAGCAGATCTCTGAGTTTGAGGCCAGCCTGATCTACAGAGCAAGTTCCCAGAACACTGAGAAACCCTCCCCCCCCAAAAAAAAACAATGAAGACAACAAAAAGAATGTATTTATTGTCAGTCTGAGTATTTGCCTGGCAAGGACCACTCATTCCTTCCGAGACAATCCATACACAATCACCATAGTCTAGCTTTTCATTGGCAGTTTACAACTTCTGAGTATCTGAGTGTTGGAGCTCACCTTGAAGGCCTGTGTGCCCCAGAGCTTGGTTCCTGTCCCTGAGCTAGCTTGCTAGGTTCTCGATTAACAGCTTCATGTACTGCATCACCACTCCCAGTTTCAGACTTCAGGATGCATCCAAGAAGCCAATGAAAGATGCTTAGAGATGTTTGGAAAACGTCTGTACCCTGAATGTACTCCCAAGTTACAAGTTCTTTTTCTAGTTGCTTTGACCTCTGCAAGGTCACAAAGGTAACAATGAGAACATCTGTCCACAACTTTTGTTTGTGTGCTAGCTTTCTTTCAGAGAGTTACATTTGCAGCTACTTTTCTCAAAATTGGTTGTGCCGGGTACCTTAGCCCTATCAGTGGTTCTCAACCTTCCTAATGCCATGACCCTTTATGCTTAATTGCCAACCATAAAGTTATTTGTTGCTACTTAATAGCTATGATTTTCCTACTGTTATAAATCGTCATGTAAATATCTGCTATGTGGATCCTCTGAAGGGGTCCAGACCCACACAATTTGAGAACCGAAGCTAGAAGAACCAACCAGTACCAGCAACATCTACTATAGTTAATTTCACAAGGTACTGATGAAGTATTGGAAAAAGAAATATAAATAACCTGTGGGGAATTGAAGGCTTAGTCACCATACCATCTCAGCCTACCCTTTTCCACCTAAAAGGGTAAGTTTGTGTTTCCTCAGCTGTCCGTAAATAGTGATTCTTGAACTACTCGTATTATGGCAGATAGCACCACACACCTCCACACAGAATCTAATGGAAAAAAAAAAAATGTGTCCTAAAAACTGCCCTTGGTTTGTATATCTTAGATAGTTTGAGCTGGATGTGGTGGTTCACGACTTTAATCTTAGCACCTGGAAGGCAGAGGCAGGCAGATCTCTTGAGTTCAGGGCCAGCCTGACTTACAAGGCAGTTCTAGGACAGCCTGAGCTGTTACAGAAGAAACCCTGTCCTGAAAAAGAAACAAAAAACCAAAAAAGAAGAATGAGCTAGTTTGAAGCTAACAGTTCTATGGGTACTAATGGGGAAAAATCAACAGTCACTTTTCAAGTCCCAAGAATGAATAATGCACTGTGTGTGGCTAGGTGTCTAGAATTCCTGTGTTTTTGGAACCCTTACTGCAATAGTGCAAGCATTTGGAGTTGAATGTGACACACTGAAAAAGGACATTTTGTAAGCTTTGTGAACGTTTTACTTAGTTTTCAGGTCAGAGTCTGGAGAGAGATTTTTATCATTGGAGTGTTTGCTCTGCATATAAGTGTACTCTGAGGGTGCTGGGTCTCCTAGAACGCAGTAGTTGTAGACTGCCATGTAGCTGCTGGAACCAAGCCAGTGTTCTCTTTGACAGCAGCCCCACACTTTTTTGTTGTTTGCTTGGCTTTTGTCATGCCACCTTGGTGGGCCTAGGACTCACTATGTAACTGAGGATGACTCTGATCCTTTTGCTTATCTCCCAGTCTTTTACATGGCGCTTGGGATCAAACCTAGGGCTTCTTGCTTGCTAGGCACTCTTGTGAACTGAGCCCAAGCCCTCATGGAGCTTGTTTTTACAATTCATCCATAAGGTTGTAATGTCCAAAGAATGAATAGTGTTTTAATGGATGCATAAACAACAGATGAATGTTGTTTGAAATTATGTTCATCTGTTGATGAACATTTGGATGTTTTCCTCCTTTTGGCTATAGTGAATGTTAATTTACACATTGATGTGCAAGTATCTGTTTGAATCTTCTATGCATTTATTGAGATGTAATTGTTGGATTACCTGATGTTTCTACTTTTAATTTCTAAGAAGCCATCCAATTTTCTCCACAGCAGCTACCCCACCTTCTCACCAGAAATGCATAAGCTTTGAAACTCTTTTAACGTCCTATGAACCTTCTCACTCAAGGTTTACAATACTAAGCACAAGATAATTTGAAGTTACTTGCTAAGTGAAGGAATTTGGTCTACATTGGCAGGCCCTTACTGGAGGGGGTAGAATTACCTTTGAGAGAGGGGATAAGGACTACGATAGTGTTTGGACGGGAAAGGCACTTCAAACTATAAATGTCGCCTTATCCCACTTAAAAAAAAAAAAATCCTGAACTAGAGAATGAGTGGGAGGATAAGGAGCAGTTTAATCCCCTACCCATACCCAGCTACCAAACCTTGCCTCAGGCACTAGAGAATGCTCCATTATTACCAAAGAAGCTCACAGCATTACACAGATGTAATATGTTTAGGTTCCCTTGGTGGGAGTGCCAGGTTAACCTGAGTTACTCAGAAGTAAAAGAACTAGGCCTGACAAAAGCTGCTGGGTCTGCGGGATGGGAAAACACTGGTAGACAGGCCACCAATCACTGGGGGAGGGGGGGGGTGATTGACTCCACCCCTTCTGCCTGAGAAGGATGCAACTGTTGGAATTCAGGGTACAATGGAGTCCTGGTTTCTTACACCTGTTTCGCGCCCACCTGGAGGGGCCTGTTGCCTCCTCCCTACCACAGGCCTTCTGTTCTGTATCCTACTGTCACCCAGTCCCAAGCAGATAGTGGCTTCCCCTGTGCTTGGGGGGAAGATGGGTCACCTAGACCTTGTAAACTCATTTCTGTTGGAGCCTTCTTAGCGCTATACTTTATCTTGTTCTGTGTAGTTATATACAAGGAGCATTGGTCTCGTGAGCGGGAGGAATATGGAAATTACAACTAAACATTAAATCATCAAAGTAGCATCCAACAGATAGTTATTTGCATTTTTCAAGGAAGAACTCGGAGACAGTAAGACAAGTCCCATGTCTGCTGTCTTTCCGTCCACCCCTTTTCTTTCGGGTCGAGGTT